GCGTCGGAGGCATGTATACGATCATCGTATATTCATATGTTCATGCCTGAACAAAGAGATTAGAACGCATTAATACAAGCTTGCTAAACCCTGCAAACAAGATCTTATCTCATTGGAGCAACGAACTTTAATGCTGTATAAATTCTTGACTAATTATCAAAACCAAATAAATATTTCATTCACGAGCAGAACTCTGAGTGAGCGCTGACGTCGATGAAATAAAAAATAAAATAAAAACACAAAAAAAAAGTGAAGCGCAAAGTAATTACGAATTTTTGTAGCTACTTATATTTGAGTAAAGTGCTTCAGGCGGGTATGCCAGGACCAGAAGATGCCCTGTTATTCGCCCTATAAAAAACTTGTATAGATTGAATACATATATGGAGCTTGATCAGACACATTTAAATTAAAAACTAAAATTGGAAATTAATAAGAAAAATATCTACAAATAAAGTTCTAATTTTTTTTTTATGTAAAATATACAAAATTTAAAACTAAGCTTTGGTTATTATTTTGTTTATAAATAAATAATAATCATTTTATTTTATTTTTAAGATTAACTTATTTCGAAAAATATAGACAAATTAGGTTTAAAAAAAAAAAATTCTAAAATAATATACATATTTAATTATGTTTTATATTATTTATAGAAATAGTATAGCTTTAAACAAAAATGAATGGAATATACAGACTTTTTTATTATGTTAGCTATAATAAAAATAATAATTATTTATAATTAAACGCCTGTCAATCATAAAATTTTCAAATGATTGCAACTTAGCAAAACAAAGTCTGCTGATGACAGAAAAAAGTGTTCATAAAACAGCTAAACAAACAACCTGTTTACATTTTTAAAGTAAAGCCCTTGTGTGAACTGCGAAATTTACAAAGTTACTGAATATAAAAGTTGTCAAAATAAATTAATCACTATAATAATGTATTATTTACATTATAACTCCTTAATCTGAAACAGTTTGTGTACAATTTTTTTTTTTTTTTCACCGCCTAACAGGTTGAACCTGTTTGGCAGCCCTCGACTAATGCAATTCGTTATTATCTGGCATTATCAGGCGAGTCACTTGAAAAACAACACGCGCATTCTAGATTGCATTTGTGTTTGCCAATTTTATTGCACTGGATGCATATGTTGAGCATATGTTTTTAGTATGTGAAATGTGGATTAGCAGCTACAGTAAACTCTATTTACACTACCGAGCATATGGCAAACAGTGGCACTTGATGAGATAGCAATGCTTGTAAACTTGCAAAAGGGGAGGACCTTATGGATATTATTATATATTATTAGACTGAACTGAAAATTGTCTCTATTTTTCATCTGAGCCGTTACTTTATATTTGAAATTCTCAACTCATATTTAATAAAATCAGTATACTCTCTTTCGCTTCGTGAACAGGCATATGTGGTACTTGTAAATAGAAGATGTTATCATATCACTCAAGGTAGACGCAATTATAGCTCACTCTCGCCTCAAGAATTTGTTGCTCTTTTTATCTATTTATAGAGCACTCCGGTAGATATCACGTGTAGTTATATACGCGTTTATTGTATTCTAAAACTGTTTAAAAATAAAAAAATATGCCCTAATTTAAAATATAATATATTATACGTCAAGAATATGTTAGACTTTGCAGCCCGAGCAATTCATATCTTTATATGAGTTAACTACACGCGCCAGTGCAGAATACGCATTGAGAAAGGAATTTGAAATGTGCTTGATAAGGCGTGACGCTGGCACCCCCCATAAAAGCAACACTGACCCATTATAGTAGGTCAATTGTTATCAGCCAGTCACACAATCGCAATCAATTTATTATAAAACAAGAGATCGCTCGAGCCGTTCAATTGAATGCAAAAAAATAAATAAATAAATTAAATAGGCGTGAAATAAATACGAGTTGTTATTCGAAAAGGTTGAAAGCAATTAGATTTACTAACTAAATAAGTGGAATAAATGAAAGCTGCTGTGTTATATTATAATATAAAGACATTATCTCATTGAAAACACAATAAATTTAAAAGTTTATTTATATAACTTTACCTTTTTGCCATTGACAAAAAACACTAAAACAGACGTTGCCTCCGCCGCTGTCTTTGACATGTTATGTAAACTTGATTGATTTATCCGTATCTGTCTAAAGTTAGCTCAAAACGTGTTTAGCTATTTGGCTACATGAAATGTTCAAACGTTCTAAAATCAGTTTTAGGTGTTTCCTCAATTCCCACACTCAGCACTCCAACACACAACACTCAACACTCAACAACACTCACACCGTATAAAACACGACCGGCCCGAGCAAGAAACGAATTCGTTTTGACGCTGAGACTCGTCAGTTCTGAGATTAGAGGCTCCACGAATCTACATGAGAGCGAACCGAGCCGAGCCGACGACAATTATCAGGATCGTTTGAGTGTATTTCGGCTGTCTCATTTCTCATCGGTGTGTTCGAGGTTATCATCTACCTACCTGATAGGCTCATTTAAAAGCAATTACGGGTATACCATTTTACAAGGCACGAATTGAGCCTGCTCGACTGGCAGCTGCCCTACCATGTTGCTATGCTATATATACAATATACATTTCCAATTTGCACTATAGACTTATTTAACTTGGAATTCCGATTTCCGTATTCAACAGTATTATTTATTAAAAAAAAAAACTATTTTACTTTGAATTTAATTTTTAATTATTAAGTATTCTTCAAACTGCTTACTTAAAAATACATAAACTTTTTTTTCTTTTCCACACATATTTCTTATTTACTTCTTATGTATTTCCAAGCATAATTTGATCGACTCAGTCCGTCACTCTGATGAAGAGCATAAATACATAAAATGTACATCATCAAAGAGATCGATACTCGTTATAAAGCTATAAATTCCAGCATATCAAAGTATAATTAAACGTTTTTGTTATGCTAAAGCAACCTCAGCTCTAAATTGATTTAACAAATTTACATAATTTATTGCAATTTAACCTAACTTACATAGTTATTGTACAAATACATATATTTATGCTTATGCCGCAAGGCAATTAGTATTTGCATTTTGCACTTAAATATCTTACAATATAATGTTCATTGAAATATATATTTTAGCGCGTATATATACCAGAATAATATATACCACTCGGCGCATTAAACGTTCTCGACAGAAAAGTTTTGAATCTTAAAACAATTTACATATGATAACATCTTATATACATACAAAAAAGGATTCAGATACAATGTATCGCATTAATGTATCTAAAAATTTTGCCAGTTTATCGAAGTATTCTCGTATATATAACAATATATCCAACATGTTACGCCGACTTAATATCCAGCTCTCGCTCGACTTTTGTGCCCTCGTACATGGCCTGCCGGCGCATGGCCTCGCGCAGTTGTTGTTGCTCGAAGCGCCGCGCCGACCATTGATACCTGCCGGGGGAAGCAGTTGATAAGAGTGCATGTCGCCCATAACCTATAGCGACTCACCTGCAGGCCATCCAATAGACTATTGTGCCACAAAAGAAAGAGCCGAAACCAATGTGTGTGGCCAGATGGGGTCGGGAGGTGCCTAAAAATGCCAAAACACCGACACCTATGCCGCCGCTGATGCCATAAAGAAAACTGTTACGAAAGCAAGGTATCTGAGCAACATCGCGTCCAAATATATAGAAGCTCTGCAAGGAATTAAGCACACATCAATCAACATATTTTTATATATTAAAATTGTATGTTCTTGCTTACCTTGCTGGGCTCCTCTGGCACGTCATCTATCATTTTTATTAACCAAATTTAAATTACTTTTTCTACAGTAAAGTCCCTACAAAACGCGGCGAACAGCTGTTTTCGAACAGTGTGTCCATATTGTACCAGAATTTAAAAAAAAATAATTGCATGACAAGCCATTGGCATCATGCAAAAATATGATTCCCGTATCTATGTAATAAGAAGATATAGAATGAATACAAAACGTTTCCATACAACAATTATTGCACGAAATACTATTCAAAGCTGAAATATATATCACCAAAATAAAACTCAAATATCATGCATATGCACGGTGCGCATTTAAATTAAATTTGATTTTATAGGCAGCACTGGTTCACGCTAGCAAGAAGAAGCGAACGCTCTAGCTCAGTTTGCCACAATCACAATTTCATTCTTTAGTTTTTTGGTTTCTCGTTTAATACAAAACAAATGCAAGCAAGTGCAAAACCACAGCAGACCACTACACACCCAGTTGCATAAATTTTACGTCAATTATAGATCTGCACACAATAATACAAGACTTTCAGGTAAGTTGATGCATTGCCACAAGCATACATACATAATAACCGACATGCCTTTGTGCGTATGTATGTGCATGTACAGCTAGCTGACGAAAGCAAAACAAAGTCAAAATAGTGTCGATAGCAGCTGCTGATAATATCATAAAACACAACCTGAGAGTATCAGATTATTTTCATGTGTTTATTTAAATCCATATGTCAAAGCGACACTAGGCTTTGTATTTAGCATCGAGAAACATGTACACGTACGCAGAATCTTTGAAATTTTAAGTTCGTGATAGGAGGTCGACTGGAATTATCTACTGGTGCCTCTCAGCTGATCTCTCCCTCTCTCATTATATTTTGTTTTGTACACTTACAGTTATTTACCGAATGCCGTACTCACCATAACAAAAACAACTGATGACCGAGCTACGTACACACAAATAATATACATACAAAATTAAATAGATACGTACAGACGTGGATGAAGGAACAGCAAACAAACTGAAACCGAATTTCAATCCGTAACCAATTCTTCCAAGGCAGCAGCTGTGCATACATACACAGACACGCAGGCACACGCACACGCACACGTAGCTCAACTACACACACTATATATATATATATAAATATATATAGAAAACCACCGACTGTGCACAAATGGATATATCAGCATCAACTTCAAGCGACTCGACAATGGGAACACCGGAACAGAGGAGCAAATCGTATATTGGCGATAGCACGTTCTACGACAGCGCCCTGGATCATCAACTATCCTCAGCAACGGCAAATTATACATCCTGCAATGGTAAGTTACGTATTAAGCAGCTCAAACTGTACATCGTTTATTGGCAGAGGGAACTATTTGAAAAGTTCAGTTGGCCTTGGCGTTCCATTCGTCAGCTCTACGGCAGTGCCTAAATAACTACACATGCAAACATGAGCGACCCCGACACACAACCTGACCCAGAGCCGCTTGTGTGCAGTCGGCATGAGCAGCAGCATCAGCAGTTGCTGCGGCAGCACAACGAGCTGAAGCTAGAGCACTCATCACTTAAGCGACAGCTGAACACCGTCAAACTTCATCTCTCTACGTTGAGCATTGAGAACGAGTACTTGGAGCAGCAAATCGAAAAACAGGCCCAACAAAATCATCGACACGAATGCTTCAATCGGAACATCAAACAAGAGCTCATCAACTCCACCAACTTGGCGATCAATGCACAAACGCGCGTCACATTTCCGCACAAGTTTTTAGTGCAGATCTTCGCGCCGTTTGCAGAAGATAAGGCCTTGGTGGAGCACTGTGTGCACATCGACGAGGAGATGGCCAAATCCATGCACACGATACGCATGCATGCCTACCAAGAACATGAGCTAAAGCTGAGAGATGTTATAAGTAAAAAACAGGCAGATCTGCGCTCAAAGCTGGTCGCTAAATATGAGCTGAAGCTGGACAAATGTGAACTGTCCCGAAAATGCAAGTCCTCACTGATCAGGCAGAGATGCTTCGATTTGTTCAAGCATTTCATGCACGAACATTGCGCAGACAAGGAATATACATCAGCGTATTTGGCTGATCTGAAAGCCGTATACGAGCAGACGACACAACATTTTTAATTTCCATTCCATTCATTGCAAAACCATTTTCAGATCATCTATATTTTGTATTAATCGACAACACGTTCGTTTTGAATTCACAGAAAGCCTAAACGGAGACTTCAATCAGAGTGCAGGAAACACAAATTATGGCCACAAAGTGCTGAACGCTGAGAATTTCGATGTTCACAACGGAAACGGAAATGGAAATGGCAATTTAGAGGAAATAGCGGCTTTTAACACCTATGGTGTGCCGTCTTCTGTCTCCCATTCATCAAATGCTGCAGCAATTAATGCCAGCATGCTGCTGCTGCAATCCGAGAGCACCGATACAAACACCTCACAGGAGGAGGTCGATCCAAAGTCTCAGCTGGCCAATAAGACAATATTTAAGACCGATAATCCCAATTTGTCAATTATAGAAATAAATGAGAATTCGATTAAGGAGGAGGATCTCGAGAAGGAGGTGGTACTAATTGAGCAACTCTCCACCGACGATAACAATGAGGCCGTCGAAAAGGTCAAAAACATATTGAAAAAGTCGCCCAACAAGGTGGCCGACAATGCCACAGACAAGCGACGCCGCAAAACGGACACCCTGCTGCAGTCCAGCAAACAAAAATTGGACATATCAATAGCTGAGGCATCTGCAGCAGCGGATGGAGTTAACGATCGGCAACTGCAGCTGGCACAGCCGACTGTGGCCATCATCGATCAACCGCAAACTAAACGTGAAATTGTGATCTACGATACTTTGGAGGAATTCGATCAAAATTTACCCTCGACTGTGACCCTATTGAATACACCGTTCGGCAGCAAGGTCTACTTGGTGGGCACGGCGCATTTCAGCGAGGAATCACAGGATGACGTCTCCTATGTAAGAATACCAACAATTACAATTGAGTTAATTTAATCGTATTTTAATCTACTTTCAATTGCCATCCGCAGGTCATTCGCAATGTCCGTCCAGATGTCGTCATGGTGGAGCTGTGTCCCTCCCGTGTACACATACTCAAACTCGATGAGAAGACGCTGCTGGAGGAGGCCAAGAATATCAATATACCCAAGGCAATTAACCCAAAACATATGCTTATAATATTTATATTCTAAGGCATTCAAATACCCCGCAGATACGTGGCATTCTTCAGACGCATGGCTATATCAATGGCATCTTCTTTATTCTGTTGCTGCAGATGAGTGCACAAATTGCCAAGGATTTGGGCATGGCACCGGGCGGTGAGTTTCGTCGCGCCTTCGAGGAGATACACAAGCTGCCCGGCTGCATTTTGCACTTGGGCGATCGACCCATACGCATCACACTTTATCGTGCTCTGCGCGCTCTGTCGTTGTGGCAGACCATGAAGCTGGTGTGGCGTCTCACTTTCACGGACAGCATTAGCATCGAGGAGGTGGAGGAGTGCAAGAAGCAAGATCTACTTGAGAAACTTATGCAAGAAATGGCTGGTGAATTTCCTGCCTTCTCAGATGTATTTGTGCGCGAACGTGATCTCTATTTGTGTCACTCATTGCAATTGGCGGCATTACCGCAAGCGGCACCCGGTGCCCATCAAGTGCGTCCCGTCCGAGTCGTTGGCGTCGTTGGCATCGGACATGCCAATGGCATTGCCAAGATGTGGGGCCAAGTCGATCCCGAGAAGATACCGGCCATACTAGAAATACCACAGGCCAGCCTCAGTCAGCGGCTGTGTACAAATACATTAAAGTATGGACTACTCGGACTGGGCGCCTATGGGGCCTTTCGTTTCATGCGGCCGCGTCTGACGCGTTTCTTTTAGTTTCCATTCAGATGCATGTTTTTCTATATATATTTGTTGAATTTATTTTCGTTATTAAGTGACAAGCCCGGCAGCACTTGAAATGGGCATTGAAAACATGATAAGTATTGTGAGTAGTACTTGATGCTTTTGATAGAAAGTGTTTATACGCAATCACAAATATAAATATATATATGTATGTACATATATATATATACTTAAAGAAAAGACATTCAAACATATTCCTGGTTTTAAAAACCCAACAAAAATGAAACTATCAAAATGAAAATAGATACGCACAGGTACACGAGATATATATCAATATATATGTATATAGTTGTGTACTGGGCTATAGATATCGCGACTGTGAATACGATTATATCAATTCATATTCAATTGTTTTACAAAAGGACTTAATTTTAAACTGTTGCTGCATAGTTGTTAAAGAAACATCACGCCAAGAATACTTTCTATATATTAATATGATTACTATTAGTTTTTTTTTTTTTTTACCAGTTAGAACTCGTAGTTGCAGGATTAAATGGTTTCTGGACAGGCTACAAGAACAAAAGACAAGACAACTCGAATGCTTATTGCATGAGACATAAAAAATTTTTTTGAACAAAACTCTATGTGTGAACGTGCCCGAGCCCATAAACAACTGGAAACACTTTATCTTTCGACTTAATCCATATGTATGTAAATGTTATTCATTCCGTAGTAGAAAAACTCTGAAATTTTTAGACACTAAGTGGAAACGTGATGGACCTTCGATATTGGAAGTATGTATGGCCGTGTGTTAAATGTTGCATATTATATTGAGGAATTTTACAATACAAAAAATTAAAAAAAAAAAAAAGATTTAAACTAAAAACACAACAAAAAAGAACCTACCTAGATGTACTTTACTAACAACAATAACTACAAATACATATTTGAACTGTATGGTATTACAAATACAAGCCAACTTGTTTTTGACGCTGCGTAGTTTGTGCTAATTTAGAGCCGGTGTTATTTAGCATTTAAAATAGTGAACCACCCGAAAAACACTCAACATCCCACTTTGTGTATAATTGACTCAAATAAAAGTTTACATACAAAAAAAAAAAACAGAAACTTGTTTAATTTAAGGGAAATTCTTAAACAAATTATATATTTAAATTGCAGAAAATTAAAATATATAGTTTATGAGTATATATGTAAGCAATATAGTTATGGATTTTTAGGACCATTTTTATCTACATGTACATTGCCATGATATATAGAAGTTAACAACCTTGTCAAAAAAATATCCTCAATACCCCCATGAAGGCCTTAACGATAGACGATTGCCATAAAAATTTCCCTGTATAGAACCCTGCCACAAAAACACCCCTATATGGCTTTGCAAATATCCATACAAAAAATCCTTATCATGTTAATTTCCCTATATATAATAGAAAACATATAAATACCACTATATATACTGTACCTATAGAAATAAGCTTAACTACACGATTACAATACAAAGAAAGTTGTCATAGTTCTATTTAGATGATTGCCATACAAATACCCCTATTATTTTAAATCTTGCCACACAACCATTTATAAACCCCTATATTTATCAGAAAACCAAGATGCTGGAGCCTAACCAAAAAATTACAGATTGACTTGCATTTCCATATACTTACTCTATAAATACAATTCAATCATTATAATGATTAGCTAATTTTATGATAACTCTGATATGATTCGGATTCACATACATCACCATATTCAGTCATATGTAAAAATGTTTTACACATATATGTACATATACACTGCGTTTGTTTTCTTTTTATTATGTACTTTAAACGTATCTTAAGCACTAAACGTCTCTCTTGAGTGTGTGTGTGTGTCTGTGTTTTTGCCATAAATCTTGAGTTTTTACGTCTCTCTTACTATTTTTGTTTTTAAGTTAAAAATTCCAACATCTGTGTTTTTGTTTTTTTTTTAGTTTTGTTTTTGCGCTTATATGTAGATAACATATTTTTTCTCTTACAATTTGCTGCAATACAAATAAAAGTCTTAAATTGTAACTGTAAAATTCTAAATAGTTACAAATTAAATACTAAATACATACGTAGTTAATTTTGAGGTGTGTGCTATGTGTATGTGTGTGTTTGGGAAGGGATTTCTTGTATGTTTTTTAAGTAGTTTTTTGTTTTGTTTTGTTTTTTTTTTTTGTATTTTGTATTTTTTTTTTTAAGGTTGGTAATGCAAATATGTATTGTATTTTAAATTATAACTTAGAAACTTGGAAAAAATTCAAATGAAAGGCTGGGCGCAGTTGTTCACAGAGAAAGCCGCAGTTCCATGTGATTTATGTTTGCTTTGTTTCGTTTGCTAATTTGGGCGATTACAACGAAAAAAATATACAGAATCACATTGTAAGCACACGTTATCCAGTTAAGTTTATATAGCTGTTCGACTCCCATTTCTTTCGATCTGCTCCTCCCTGTGAGCGCTTCCACTGCCCGTTGTCACACCAGTTTTTGTTGCTGTTTGTTGTTGATTTTTTTTTTGTTTATTTAATTTTTAAATGTTGTGTGTGTGTGTGTTGTTTAGGCCTCCAGCTGAGGATGCAGCAGCAGCAGCCAGCCCAGCCTACGGCGTCTCCGTTGACTCGACCTTCACTTCAGATTTAATGCTCGATGACAGATGGTTATTAGGGTCGGGCGCACTCAGGTGCTAAAAGCAAGATGTAAATATCAATTAGAAATGCATTACTTCTCAAAATTACAACAATGATAATACGTACGTACGTACGTATGCATGTATGTATGTATATGATATATACTGGGTGTATATATGTATATGTATTTATATTGTTTATATATGTATGTATAAAACGTAAGAGGTGTTAGTAAACCCTAGCCTAGGCAAACAACAACTAATGACCAATATAATAATAACAAACAACATCAACAACAATAACATGGAACAACAACAACAACACAAGCTAGACCACACACATATACACACACACTTTAACAGTATATGGGGGCACAAACAACAATTTTGGATATTTAAATGGGTTTTCTATTAATTTTGTTGTTTGTACTTATCTCTCTTCTTTTGCACACACACACACGCACGCACGCACGCACACACACACACACGCACGCACGCATACAACACTCACTGTTGGCTGGTGGTACCTACCGATTGGCTACTCACAATCCCGAGCGGCAATCCACCAACTTGCGGCGACAAATGCGGCACAGGTGGCACGGCTGCATTTTGTGGTGGTACCGTTGATGGCATGAGCGCAGCAGCCGCTGCCGCCGCGGCGGCCACAGCGACAGCAGCCGCTGTCACAGAGTTGTTGCCGGTTGCGGTCGGTGGCGGCGGTATCAAAGCAGCGCTGCTTGCGCTATTGCCGCTGCTGCCAATGCCGCCGACGACGACGCCGCTGCCGCTGCCGCTGCCAAGATTTGTTGTACTGTGGGGGCCATCGTGCGGTGTGGTGCTGTGTGCCCGATGTTGCAGTGCGCCTGTATAATAGCCGCCATTTAATCCTGTTTTGTATTTCGATTTGTTTGTATTTGATTGGTATTTAGGTAAAGTTAATAATATGTTGCTGTTTATCTTGGTATTATCTTAATATTCTTTTGGGGAAAGAGTTGGGAGTTGAATGTGGGGGAGTTTATCGATTATATTGAATTGTATCTCGATTTTTGTGGTGGCTGCGTGTGGTCTAAGAGAAGGACAAGTGGCGAATAGGAAATAGCTATATATACATACATACATACATACATCCATCTAACTATTTGCGTTATAAATATGTATGTATGTACATATATATATGAGATGCGAATGAGTTCAGAACAGGCGCCTACACAACTAGCTCCCAGCTGATCAAATGTGTTTGATTTTTTTTCTCTTCTTTTCATATTTTTCGCTGTTTTGTTTGCTTGCTTCTTTATGTACAATGCGACCTATATAGACTATAATACGAGCTATCAATTCCGTTGGCCAACGTTCATAAATTACTGACTTTCGATTTAGTGTTGAACAACTAAGTCTAATGTATATCTTATCGATATCTTAACGATATTAATTTAAAGCTTGCTCTGCTCTGCACTCAAATGATGCCATCATCCCGTAAATCGAAAATAATGTAAATATAAATTTATAAAACAAAAAATAAAATAAAATAAAAATTAGATAAATTTAACTAATGAACTTGTTAAACAATTTTGCAACAATGCGCCACACAAAAGCAACAAAAATTGGTTCTTTAAAGATTTTTCTTTTATTTGTTTTTTCTCTCGTTTTTTTTTTTTCATCTTCATATTTTCTGGAAAGGTTTTGTTGGTTGTTCTTTTCTTGAAATTAACTTGCTCTGTTTTGAATTGATTTTTTTTTTTTTTTTTACTTTTTTTGTTTAATTTTATTTAGCTTTCACAGTTATTAAAAATATTTTTTATACATTACAAAATAACAGTATTTTATTCTTTTTGTCTCTTTTACTTTTACTTTTACGCTTAGGCTTATTAATTTCCTTTCATTTGCTCAGTTTTATTTTGTTGCAGCTTGTTTATATACTCGTAGGATCGTGTGTCTATATATATATATATATTATATACGTGTAAGTGTTGAGTGTGTTGGGTTTGTTTGTATATGCGAGTGTGTATGTGTGTGTACATATAAATATATATATATTTAGATTTGTGTGTGTTTCTATGCGTATTTATATTTTGTGCTTGAAATTTAACAAATTTTGTCAGCTTGAGAACAAAATCAAGTACATCATTAAAATAAGAAATTAGACTTTTGATGCATTCTTTATATATTATTATTTCATAAGGAATATTGTTTGTTGTATGTTCTGCTTGAATTGGTCTTGAGCGAAAATTAATAAAGAATAATTGTGAAAAATTGGCGTCAATTGCATTAATTGTTTAATTAACTTAAATTGCAAAAATTTTACAAAATTATACTTTGCGCCGTTTTTTTTTGTTTCTTTTTTTTTTTGTAAATATTCTTACATTTTACACGCTAACAATTCTTAGACTTACCGACGACTCGGTTGATCATAATGTGCTGTGTTTCCTTTCTTTTTTTTTTTTTTTAATTTTTACTTTTATCTTATTTTCTGCTCAATAATGTAAATCTAAGGTTTTAATAGTATTTTTTTTTTTACTTTGCTTTTAATATAATTTCTGTTATGTTTTAAATGTACATAGACTATGCATTAATATTACTTTTCTCTCATTTTTTTCTGTTCATATTATTAATGTTATATTTATTTATAGATGTGGTTTAATTATATAAACGCGCCGTGTTGTAGTTTTCAATAATTTGTGTGGGTGTCTGTTTTTTTTGTGTGTGTGTATGTGTGTGTGTGTTGTTGTTGTTGTTGTGTATAAACGTATTTAAATAATTACTTCTGTTCTGGTCTCAGCATATTTAAGATCTTAAGGCAAGGCGAAAATAAACACGGATGATGAGATCATTTTGCATTTTGCATTTTATAGAGCAGTGCAACAAATAATTTTCTATTTTTTTTTTTTTTTTTACAAATTTTGTTTTTTAATTTCAAATGGATTAGCAAAACATATATATATAGCCATATATATATAAATATATCTTAACGGAAAGTCAGTAATTTATGGCGCGAAATCAATCGATTCTTATAAATAAATAAAACTTTTTCTCGCTTGATAATTACAAAATCTTTGAGGCATTTGGAAGCTACAGATATTTGTATATAAAAGATGTCTATCGCTTGTGGTTAGTTAGTAAATATTACAACGTATAATACGATATATGTATATATATATATTTATATATATAATGTAGATGTGCTTGAACAAAATCTCTTACATTCGTTTTATAAGTATTCATCTGTTTTTCTTGTTGTTTTTTGTATTGTTTTTGTATTTTGTATAAATCGTTAGTTAGATTAAGTGTGTGAGGCAGGGG